TGCAGGGGGTCGGACTCGATGATCTGTTGAGGTCCCTTCCGACCCTAACATCTATGAATCTATATGACCCTGCTCCTCGCTGCTGATTGGTGGAGAGTGGTGGGGTTTAATGACGGGCAGCCCTCTAAGTCAATGACGGGGAGAGGGGGGTGAAATACAAGCCATAGTGGCTTCCATACAGAACTGCGACTGAAATCACCCTGACAGACCATCTGGCTGTTTTCCGTACTGTTACATACATCAGGATACTACTTTATGAGGTAAAACCATCTCATGTAGACTTAATGGAGCTTACCAAACAGTCTTCCTTCTTGAAGCTTTCCACTCATAATTAAAGGAATTTTGCATTTTTTCTTCCCTTGCTTTGTGTTCAGTTTGTTCCCACTTGATTGCAGTGTTCAGCCTTAGAATTTGGGCTCCTTGTGAATGAAGTGGCAACGGTTTCAAAAGGGAGTGGGGGTTGCTGTTTGAGTAAAATCTGGTGTTCACCATTTATAATTTCCTTCTAATTGAAAGTCCAGTTGTGGATTTATATATATAAAAAAAAAGCATTCACAACTATCCTTTTCCCCAGACTGACAAATTTTATTCAGTAATCTCCATATGTTTGGCTTTGGTGTGTTTCACCTTTGCACAGATCTTTGCAGCCAAATCCCTGCCACAGGAGACTGATGCACACATGTAGAAAATTTAAATAAAATATTTCCCAAAATACAGAAAATACTACTTGAGAATAGTATAGCTGGAAAGTCAAGTACTGCAGTTAGGAAATTCCAGAATGAAGGTTATCTACGGAACCTTATTTCATCTTGTGTGTGTGTGTGTGTGTTTTTTGTTATGATGTAGTCTTAATGAACATTTAATATCTTGTTCTCTCCTTCTTGTTCAGTGTATGTCCACTGCCTTATTTACTGCACATGATCCAGCCCCCTTTTGAAGACCAAATTATTCATTTTCTCATGGGCTTTCCTATGGCCTTCTGAATTACAGGCGTGGTGACACCTGGTAGCCACAACATGTCACTGCCCTTCTGCTAAGTTACTTATAAGCAGCTGTAATAGGGGGTTTTATTTGAATGCATAGCAGGGAAAACATTCCCATGTGAAATGTTGCTAGTAAGCAGCTGTGGCTCTTACTAGTGCCTCAAGTCAGTTTCCCAGGAAATAAGGAACACATAGTGGCCTGTGAAAAGTCTGGTTTAAGCGATTTAGCCAGCCAGCATCATGTAGGTTAATTCTGTTGAAAGCTGCTTAATCACAAAGACCATCTGTTTTTTTCCTTTAATCCCCTGCCTCAGTCACAGCACTCCTCACAACTTCTGCAGTAAATGAGGCAGGAATCCTGTAGGCAACAGCTTCCATCACTCCTGATTTATTTCTAGAGGAGGCCCATCCTTTGTTCTGAATCAGCCTGGCGTCTTGTGGGAACAAACAGAATATGATCATAATGCATACTTAGTACAGGAGGGGTAAATTCAAGTTTTATAGACAACAATATTTTTGGAATTTCATGAACTTTTAATGTGAGAGGCAAGGATTTTGTGGGTGATATCTTTTATTGGACCAACTGTATAGCTGGGAGGGATTAGACAAGTTTTCTGATACCAAGTACCCTTCCTGAGGTCAGAGAAAAAACCAGACACAGCAGAACCTAAATAGCAGGTAGAACAATATTCCTTGCAACTATATATTTGGTTCAATAAAAGATATCACCAACAAAAATACTTACCTCATATTTTTCCTGGACCATCATAACTACAACGTCACCCCTAAACTTTTAAGTCTTTGACTTTGCAATCCCAGCTACACTTTTCCAATATAGTTGGTTTGGTGCACGATTTCCTAGGTTTTAAAAAATAAATTGAAGAAAAGACAGTCCATCAATGAGTATCATACTGATACCCACAAAGATCATCATTAAACAAATTACTGGTCTCAGTAAAGGGACACCTAGACTAAATTTAGTGGCTTGTTCCATGTAGGTCAGTGATTCCTTTTGGCCTTAAATTTAATGAATCGGCAGGGTGAAAAATTTATCTCTGGTGCACAGGCCTTTGGTCCTTCAGCTGGCTGAATAATTGATGGCAGTAGTAGGTTATGATCCTCTATGTCGACCAGCACTAAAGAGGGATGAGACTGCCAGTTGACTTCAGAGAAGTTTGCTGACAGCAGAGGAATGGTGAGACTGGAACATTGGGTGCAATTCCAGGGTCTGGAAGGAAGTGTTCTGTCATGACTGCAGACTCTTCTGCCTGCTGCCTCCAAGCCTAGCCTACCCTGCGCTCTCCTATCCAATCTGTCCCCGTCCCCCTCCTGTCTCTTCCCCATCTCTCTCTCTTCTTTGGCTTCAGTCATGTAGCTATGCAGCTATGTTTCTGATCCTCACTGGCTACCAATCTTAATCTCCCTCCCTGGGATTATCATCTAATTTTAAGGTCACCTTCCCTGACTTTTTGTCCCCAGGCTCCTTTCCAACCAGTCCCAATCTCCTTACCATTGCAGTGTCCAGTAGGGCTGTGTGAAACAGCTGTGTTTTATTTTGGTTTTGGTTTTGGCATTTCAGAGGGACAGTGATTCGTTTCAGTCTTTCGGATCACTATTCCATTTTGATTTGGCAGATTTAGATCTGTTTTAGAGTTTTGATAGTGTTTCGGCCATAGATTATAATGGGGAATCACTAAAATGCCTATAATGTTGTCATTTCTTGCCTGATTCAGATGAAAATTGCAGGAATGGTAGCCCCTTCTGAGGGCATGAAACCTGCCACATTTCAAGGAGATAGGTGCAGGAGTTTTTGTGAAGCTGCACCTCAAACAGTTCAAAGCAAAACTTGTATCACTTACTGGCAGTAGCAGCATGCTGTCATCCCGCATGCAGATCCAGGGCCCACACCCCCCAGGAGGGCTTTGGGGCTGTGCCATACTCCTCCCTGTGGGTGCAGACCCCAGATCTACGTATGGGATGACAGTAGGCTGCCATCCCTCCCCAGAGCACTGGGATTGAAAGGGACCTCAGGGATAGATCACAGGCACTGGCCAGCTACAGATGTCCATCAGAGCAGTCCTCTCTCTTCCCCTCTCTTCCTCCTCCCTCTTCTGAGTCTCTGTTTCCCTGCAAGTCTGCCTCTGAACATTTTGCATGGTTTTGTTTCATTTCAGAGATGTTTTGGAGCCTTCCATTTTGCTTTGGATTCAGTGTTTCGGCTGCTGAAATGGGCTGAAACACCTCCAAAATGAAACATCTGCCGAAATTTTGCACAGCCCTATTGTCTAGTCCCAGTTTTCCTTTTTTCTTTTGCTTGCCTCCAAATCTCGTCCCCAGCAGTACTCTGGATTTTGTCCCAATCTGTTTCTTCTTCCTCTTCACACTCCTCTCCTTGTTTCCTATGGCTTCCTTTCCTTGTCCCCTCTACATTTGAATCAGGCAGCTTTTTTCACAGCTGTCAATGAGCAGAAGAAAGGCCATCTTCCTTTCTTAGAAAAGGTAGTTCTGTGGAAGCACAGAACTGTGATTTCGGGGAAATTCATCTCAGGCCAAGGCTGAAGTATCCCCAGTGAAGCCAGAACTTTGGTGAATTCAGCTGCTAAAGTCTAAAAGTGTCTATTCAGCATGTGAACAAAAAAACAAAAAAGCATGCCAGAATTGTTTTCCTAGCTTCATTCTTAGAGAACGCTGAACTATTTTGACTGCCATTTTTAAAGTGCAGCCTGAGGTTGACATTTGGCATAGGAAATCTCAGCTCACACAATTAAAATTGATAAAGCTGAAAACAACTAAGACAGGGTCTTATAATGGGGAAAGGGCTTTTGAACCTTAATAATAGTGGGTACTACAAGCTTAGCCTCTCTATTTATCATGCTTGGGAACTGCAATTGAGAACAAGCACTGAGCAAACAGACAGTAGGAATATAGGAGAAGAAGTCTTGAAGGAACCTCCTGAGCAATTGCGTTCAGACCCCTACTATTGAAGGGAACCTTGTCACATAATCTCTTCCATAGATATGTCAGGTCTGCCTTAAAACCATTTATTTTTTTTGCGTCCACTACACTTCTTGGTAGGGTGGCTTGGAACCTCACTGTTTTGATGGTTACAAACTTTCTTTAATTTCCAGCCTAAATTCACTAATAGCTCGTTTGAGCCCATACTGATTATCTCTTAAGTAGCTGATGGGAGATGGTCCTTGCCCTCATGTATCCATGGCCAGCCTGTAGCATGGGGGCCTCAAGTGACATAGGCAGCCTCTTTGTGTGGCCCATGGTAGACTGGGGAGGGAACAGGCAGCACAGCAGCAGATAGAGCAGGGAGTAAAAAGCAGAACAGCAGATCAGGCAGGGAGCAGAAAGCAGAGCAACAGATTGGGTTAGGGAAAGGGATCAGAATGGTACTCAAGGTGGGTGTGGGGCTAATTCATAGGGCTAATTCATGGCATGCCTACCAAAAAGGTTGGTTCCCTCTGCCCTAACAAATTTGCAGTCTAACTAGATACCACTGACATGTGGGAGAAATAAATCTTACCATCTCCAGAAGGCTCAGAAAGATTAAATGACCAGCCCAGTATTGTATACTAGGGCAGAGTCACAAGCTGAATCCAGTATTTTCACCACAAGACCAGCTTTCCTTGCTATTTCTGTAACTTTTGTACCTTCTCTCCATAATTCTCTAGCACTGATCTCACAGGTAGAAGCTCTGAAGGAAGAAAATGACAGTCTGCGCTGGCAACTGGATGCCTATAGAAATGAGGTGGAGCTGCTGAAGCAAGAGCAAGGGAAAGTGAGCAGAGAAGAAGATACAACCAAAGAGCAGCAATTAAAACTCCTTCAGCAAGCTTTGCAGGGTGTGCAGCAGGTAGAGCTCTCCTTTCCCAGAAATATGTTCATGCTTCAAATGTAGTCTCCTCAGGTTCTCTCTGTGTCTCTAAAAGAGAAGCAGTTGCATAAACAAAATATATATATTTGCAGCAGCAGCAGTTTTTAGCTATGTATCACCATTTTGACCCTGCCTCTGCCGTGTGGACATGTGTTGTTACCTGCTGGTTGGGGCATGTATGCATATACCTGAGCATAAGCCTAGGAGGAGGCCTTCCTATGTTTTAACCCCAATAACTGAATGGGTAGGGCACTTGTCCAGGATTTTACCAACCTGAGTTCTAGGCCCTCCTTATCCAGAGGAGGTTTGAACCCACGTACCTTTGACTTCTTCGCACAATTTGCTCTCATGATTTTGAAGCCAGTGTCATGATTTTTAGGACTTGAGTCATGACTTATGACACTTAGGATTGCCAGGCAGCTTAAACAAGTCTTTTTGTAATACTGTTCTAACACAAAGCTCATGGGCCTGTACCAGTCAATCTGCTTCACAACAGGAACTTAGCAAACTGTCCAGCTATGCATTAGACCCAGAGCATCTCAAAGATCCCCCACCTTTCAGTGTCTGTGCTAGTCACCTTGATTTTACATGGTAAAAATCACAGAGAGTTAATAGGATCAGTAACTGACTTGCACTTTCAGAAATTCTGGACATTTTAATCACAACTTGTTTTTTTTCCTTCTTACCTCAACCATTCTCCTTCCTGTTTGGAGGGGGAAGCCAGATTCTCAGCTTTCTTTTCTACTTCAGCTCTTAGCCTCCAGAGGGCAGCATTTGCTATAGAAGTAAAGCTCTAAATTGGCTGCAAGAAAAACAGGAGAGCTGGGAGAGAAACAGCCAAAGGGCTCTGGAGATCCTTATTGGGAAGGAGTCTTTTTGCTGGTCTGTAGGATCTAATGGAAAGTCCCTACGTCATATACCCCAAGGATAAGGGATTAGTCAGCGTTTGAAATCTCCCAAGTGATTTGTGTAGGTTAAACTGAGGACAATCCAGGATTAGGATACATACTGGACAGAACTGCTCAGAATATGCTGATGTCCTGTAGAAAGATGAAGCAATCTTATTTTAAACCATTCTTTGGAGAAGCTTTGCCTGTCTTAGTATTACTGTGAGTATAGGGTAATTGTTCCACAATGTAGAAAACTATAGTAAATCTTACACTTATTAAAGCTTGCTCAAATTTCTATTCTGCTGGCTAGAGGAAAACATGCTCTTAAAATGGATAAATAATATAATAATACTTAAGTTTGTCACATGCTGGAGGATTTTATGGGACCATTTAATACTTTTATAGACATAAACTTCTAAAAAGTTCTGAATATGACCCATATGACATAGTCTAAGAATTTGTTCATGCCATGTTTTTTCAAATAAAGATGTATAAAAATGAGGCTGTGGTATAAATGTACCATCTCTTTTCTAGCATCTTCTAAAAGTGCAAGATGAATATAAAAAGAAAGAAACTGAGCTAGAAAAAGTGAAAGAAGACAAACTACAAATGGAAAAATTATTAGAAACCCTCAGGGAACAGGTATGTCTGTACATTATGCCAAAATCCCACCTAGGCACCTACAGAACAATTGGAATTCTGGCTCTCATGCCTACAGGTTTGTTTTGGCTTAGATCCCTTGGACTTTTTAGCTCACAGTAAATGCAGCACAAGGTACAGGTGCAGGAGATGGACAGGCTTGGTATGATGGCAGATGTGGTCCTTGTCTGGAGACCAATACGCTCCTAAAGTTGAGCCCACTTAGCAGTATGAATTTTGCGACTACTTTGGAGCCAGGTACGCACCATGGTAAACACGAGAATTTCTGTTCAAACATTAATCTCTCGTGGTGTTTTATTTTGAAGTTTGTTTATTTAATTTCTTATATGTTATGTATCTCTGCTTTCCGCACGAAAAGTGAATGAAACTCTTAGAGCACATTTTAGAGGATCATCTGCAAAATGCAGACTCATTTATAAAATCTTTTTTGAAACTTGGAGCAGTAAATATGGATACTATTACTTTTGAAAGCAAGCTAAATACCTTTTCCATTCCTAATGGCTCTCCATCAGGGACAGCATGATGTAAACAAGGGGACAAAATTTGCCTACTTAGTCCACAGAATTCCTATTCAAGTCAGGTATCCAGGTTCTAGCCATATTGGTCTAGACGAGAAAGCAATCAGGACTCGTAGTAGAGGTCATATCTTGTATTAGACCAACTAGCTAAGAAGTGCCTGCCCAGAGGAGTGTTCCATCTCTTGACTCCTCTGTGAAATCCTGTGAAATATGAACTTTAATTTCTACTCAGGAGAACTTTTACAATCTTTTCTCCAATGCCTGATGAAGGATGTTTGTGCCTGAAAGCTTGCCATTAAAGTCAGGGTTTCTGTCAGTTGACCAGATACCACCGATATGCTTTGTTCTAAGTATCAAGGAAAAGTGTAATAAAGTATTGCCATTCAGAACTATTGTGCAGGAGAAGGGCTCAGTCTACTTGACCAAGATAGAAGGTACCATGTAATGTATTTAGTACAGCATCCTGAAACTGTGTCCTTCCAAACTGGCTGCTGACTGTGACTTCTGGAAGGGAAATCCCATACCTATGTCCAAAAATCCATACAAAACATATGGGATGAATCTCATTAGTTCAACCTTCTTTTAGGCTTCACAGTAGACTTCAGAGAGCAACTTCTAAAATTCACAGATGGTGGAAGATTCCCTAGAAAGGAAATGATATAGTGTTTCTTGGATATCCTTATATAGAGACATGTTGTAGACTTGATTTAACAGGAAAAAAAATCCTTCCAAGCTTCTGTTTATTCTTTGTTCCCTATCTTTTTCAAATTTCAATGTCACTTGAATCTCAGAAAGAACAGGAAATGTTATTAATGGAGCAGGGTGCTGGGCCATTGCCTGCTCAGCCAGAAGATTTGTATTAGCAGCAAAGGTAACGCAGTTTCCCCCAAACAACAGTGAAGCAAGCTTCCCAGGACTTTTATGTAAATTGTCAGCCTGGCTCTCATGTTTTAGAAATATAATTTTAACTGACATGTTGGGTTTATATGCATGAATATGAAATACATAATGCATACATTTTAAAGAGGGAAAGAAGGGTTCTACATTATCCATAGTAAAACTTTGATTTGTAGTTAAAGTTATATTCAGATCTGTTACCTCTAAAGACTGTGATAGATTTTATGTTTATGACAATGTTGTTCCAATATATTTGTGCTTATTTCATGTGCAGTGCAGGGAAACACATATTTCTTTAGAATGACAGCTTTTGCTGTGGCAGATTTTATTCAGTTTGGTTAGTAAATTTTTTGCCAGTTTTTCTGGTGATGGCTTAAATACATGTAGCATTTCTGTTCATAGGTTTTTGTGACTACATAGGCTCGATAAAGTGGAGATGTTAGAGAAACATGTAGTGTTTCTTATATTATTTTACCTTTATTTTGACATACATGTCAAATAAACAATTCTGCAATGTGTCACCTAAATTAAAGACACAGGAAAGATGCTGCATTCTGTGATCATTGTTTTAGGAATCTGTAAAACTGTGAAATGGTTGGAAGGCCAGGAGCGTAGAAGTTTCTTAGTTTAGAGATGTACAACTTGTGAATATGGGAGGGTCTGTTCAGTGATTACCTAAATATGACACCAGTGGAAAATTCATATAATTTCTGCTGAAATATGAAAATAGTAGGCTCGGATGTACAAAAGGGCATAAAGCTTTGCATGTCCAAATCCCACTGAAATTCAGGGAGAGTTATACTCTGAATTCCTACAGAAAATCTGGCTCAGAGCTGATAATTTTGTATTGTTCTATCTATCTTCCATGTAAATCCCTGGATTAAAAATGCCATGCTAGCCCATTAGATCAAAGTAGAATAGACAGCTCCACAATTTGACAAGTGATGAGCTTTTGTAATGCATTGGTTTAAATTAGGGGTGTAGGTTGTAGCCATGTTGGTCTAAGGACATAGGCAGACAAGGTTCTTTGGGTAACTCTGATATCTTTTATTAGACCAAATCAAATAGTTGGAAAAATTCTTAGCAAGCTTTTGGGCACAGACACCTTTTGTCAGGCTGAGGAAGCATCTGCAGATGGTCTCTGCTTTTCCTGAGTGGAGTGGTAAAGCACCCAGAGGCCAGTAGTATGCAAGACAGCCAGTCAGTTAAAATGTAAATTCAGGTGGTCTGTAGGTGAGAGACAGGTGGGGAATGAAAGTGGCTGTAGTTAAAGGATGAGAGACAGGAAGGTGGGAGGGAAGGGCTTGAGACTAGTTGGTAAAAAGTGAGGAGTCAAATATTAGGCAGGTTATTCTTGCATAGGTACTGGCCTCTGGCTCCTTTACAGCTGAGTGATAGCTACACATCCATGAGGAGATATCTGACAGCTGTGTTATTCATTTGGAAGTGACAAGACAGGCCCCGGGTAGACTGGTGAGTTATCAGCATGATTGCCGAAACCATGTTCGCAGGCAAGATCTCCTGTTAAGAGAGTTTAGATGGAGAAAGGGAAATGGCCAAGTACAGAGCCCTGAGAGAGCAAAGGGGGTGCAGCTTCTGGTTGTCACATTAGAGAACCATGAGGAGGTGAAATCATGAATACCCGAAGAGGACAGGATTTTAAGAGCTTGGGTGGTAATGTCAAATGGAAACAAGAAATCAAGGGGTGGAAGGAGAGGAAAGAGAAGGCAAAAGTTGTGGTGGCTTTCTCTCAGAGGCCAAGGAGGGTCTTTTCTGTCCTATTTTACTAGAATCCTAGGACTCCACAAAACAAAGAGTTAGTACCATGTCCGTGATTTCCTGTCATAGCAGAGTAGTTAAGATGTTTCATTTTAGTCCCAAAGATGTGAGTTCAAATCGTGTTCCAACTTTGTGCTAAAAGATTTCCCTCCCTTCTCTACACACACTCAGCTGTAAATGGGTCCCTGAAAAGTCAAAAGTGGCTATATGGGATTTTAGGTACATCACCCCCTTTTGTGCCATTAGCAGTAGAAACTGGCATGCCTTAGCCATGCGTATGGGCCTGTAGACTTGGGAGCATCTTTGACTTTGACCATTCTCCTCTGCCAAGCGAAAAGGTTTTCTTTCTGTGACATTCTACACTAAGTCCCTTAAAGAGTTGGAATGCCATCTGCTGTGGGGTGGCCAGCAGAGTTCAAAGGTACCCAGAAAGTCCCCATCTGCATCAGTACTGCTTTTGTAAGTGCCATGACGAATGTCCTCGCATCCACTACTCAGTTAATGAGTTAGATTCAAAGACTTCAGTCTGGGTTTTGGGACTTTGCTTTACACAGGACTCCAAACCCCTGAGGCTTTCAGCCTCATTTCTGCAACTTGGACTGTAAGTGCCGAAGTATCTGAGATTGTTCATACTGTCACAAATTCTACTATGGTTTAAGAATGTTCTCTATCTATTGACTGCACTTCCTAGTCACATCTGTTTGTCCATTTTGGGTCCAAGGAAAACTACAGGTCTTGGAAATGCTAGCTGTTCATGGGTGTTACAACCAGACTGTTTGGACCCCCCGTGGAAATTGTTTATTGGTAAATAGATTTGACAGTCTGTTGGCTTTGTAAAATGCACTCTGCTGTCCATGTCCCCTATAACTTTGTTCCCCCAGTTTTTTGTACCTTTGCTAGAGATGTTTCATAAGAACACTGTTCTCTGAAGTCAGGAGAGCCAGTTGCCAGTTAATAGATGATGCTGCATACCTAGTCCATACTAGCTCGCATGACAACCCCAGCCCTAACCTCACATGTTGGCCAGTGCCAATTAAAGGAAAGGTCACATTCCAAGTAGTTGCCTTTCTGGTTATTAAAAGTATTTGAATCCCAGTTAGAATTCAAGAACTTAATTTGCAGAGATCAAAGAGAATACAGTGCCAAGTATTGTAACCTTTTCCTTTTCTTTAACTGTATATAGCAAGAGATGGCAAATGAAGAAGACAAGGAGAGAAACACGGCTGATAATCAAGGAACTGTAAGTCAAAATATTTCTTTCTCTAATTTTCAGATCACAGTGCTGGGGGAAGTTGCAACCAACTGTTCTACTGTCTGGAGCTTCATTTATTATTGAGTATATTAGCCTGACACATCTAGGCTAGCAAACAAAAGGTCATTGCATTAAACATCAGAAAAACCTCAGGTTGGAAGGAAAGTAAATGTCTTCAGCTTTGTGGTGCAAGAAACTGGTTGCCCTGCATGAGATGATGTACCCTCAGACCCTTGGCACAATGGGATCTGAACTGCAATCTCAATAATTACGCCTCCTACCATGCTACATGTGCATGTCAGGAGGCATGATTGTGGGATCAGGGATTAGTTCATTATAGTGCCATATTGCTGGTGCAAAGCCTGAGATCATGATCCTGGGCTTCCCCTACACCAGCAACCTGGGTGCCCAGCACCTGACGGGCTCCCAGTCGTGGGAGTGCATGGGAACCAAGAGCTCCCATGCCTTCCCACTGCTGGAAGGCCCAATAAGCTGAGCTCACATGCTCTCCTTTGGCTGAGAGTGCCGGTTGTCTAAATGAGGCTCCCAGCTGTGAGAGTGCATGGAGCCCTTGGGTCCAGTGACCTACCATGGCTGGGACCCCTGATCAGCTGACTGGGCTTCCAGCCATAGAAGTACATCCAAGCCCTTGTGACTGGCCACATGTTCAATTTACAGTGTGATGGAAACCAGCCACAAAGTTACTACACTTCTTTTGTGTAATAACTTTGTGGTTTATTCCCTGCTTTATCACACCAGAAATCGAATGATTGTATATATAAGACATGAGCAACTGGATAATCATGTCTTAAATGTAACCTCTGCCAGAGGCCTCACACTCAGAGGATTATTTTTCATGCTAGTACCCCCAAAACATATGTTGCTTGATATCCACTGGTTCCTCAAGAGAAAGACGACATGGGCACTGATGTGTTTCCTTTTATTGAGTATCTAATATGTGAACTTTAGACATATTGAGATTTCCGTGTCAATGAGAAGCCAACTTCTTTAATTGCAGACAGGTGGAGATTTCTGCAGATTGTTCTGAAAGGCAAATTTGTGGCCTGGCTAATGCAGAGGATAAGATAATCCTTTTGCATTTCTTGTCCATAACATCACACAAAGGAAGCTGGCCCTGTGAGTGGGAGGGGACTGGAGTGGAAATACTTAAGGACTGAATTCTCAGTTCTCAACCAAGGCTTCTACTTCTTATCAGATTCACAAATTAGTGATGCTATCATGGAAGCCTCATTCTGGTATTTTTAGTAGCCATCTGAAACTTAATCATGAAAAAAATCAAGTTGATTTTAATGATTCACAATTTACAATTTCTTAGCAACAGTATTATGTCTCAGAAAAAGGACAGAAATTCTACTTCTCTCATGCAATTTTTACTCTATTAATTTTTCTATTTTAAAGCAAACTTTTTTCAAATAGGAAAAGCACAAACTATGCCAGGTAGCTAGTCCAGGCTGGATACCTTATGGGTCAGAGCTTACTCAGTGGAGTGATTCCTCCCACAAGACGAATAGAACAGTTTTTAACAATGGAAAGATTTGTGTTTTCAGATTTTCACGCTCAATAATGGCTAAAGGCTTTATTAATTAAAAAAAATCATCTTCACAGAGAGACTTAGCAGGGAAAGCTACAGCCTAAAGTGTAAGGTTTTGAAAGATTATGGACCACTATAAAAATGAATGTATAGGGAGACCAGTAGGGTGTTGGACTACAACAGCTGCTTAAAACTTGAGCTATTAAGGTTGTTCCTTTGCTCTCTGATTTCCTGCCTCTATAAACACAACAATCTGTCTCCATCTCTGCATTAAATAAATTCCTGAAGAAAAAAAGACAACTGCAGAAGATGTGTTTTCCAAAACATTTACAAAACTGAAACGCAACCATTAAAAAGAGCATTTCAGGGTGGGTGGAGGGGCTCTCTGACTTCATGCATCAACACAGCAGCCAGAACAGACAAGAATGCTGGGGCTGAAAAAAAAGTTAAGTGATCATCAATGCAGACATTGGAAATTTGATGTTTTTAATTTGAGACCCTAAGAACTGTTCTGACACCCATATGCTTTCAGTGAAGAACAAAGTTAGAAATATGTTACTGACCTGGAAGCTTGAACCACGGTCCTAGAAATGAACCACTGTGCTAGAAACTGGCCTAGGAAAAACAAGCGAGAGAGTTAGAACTGCTTCTGCCTTTGTGACCCTGGTGAAGCTGAGAGGGAGGCAGAGATGGAGCTTAATTTAGATAATATAGAAAAAGCAGCAAGGAGAAACAAAATTAGAATTAATGGCTTGCCAAAAACACTGAAGAAGGAAACTCAGTCTGGTTCATAAAAGCTTTACTGGCAGAACTGTGAAATCTGAGCCTTCTGGAAAAGGTGAAAGGAGCCCCACAAGCACTTTTCCCTGCATATAAGCCTCATATCAGACCTGTAAATCTGATCTTGATGCTTCATCTTTGTCAGCAGAAAGCTTTAATTATGAAACAAAGCTTGGGAGTATCAAGAACTTGTCCTTAAATGCCACAAGCTACAGTTGTTTTAGACTTTTCTGTCCCACCTTTAAAAAAGAGGACCTGGGGATATCACAGCAGTATTTGAGGGGGAGGCAAGGGGTTGTGGGGGGAATTTACTGCAGGTGACCATTTGTTCTGAAGATCTTATTCTGCTTCTATAATTAGATTTATAGAGTGAGAAAAATTAAATAAAAGATAAAACCACTCTAACGACTTGGAATAGTGTCCGTTTGCTCCCTTTCAGAGTCTAAAACCCTGCTTGTCCAGGATATGGCAGGCCTATGCTGCTGTTAATTTTTCTGGAAGCACCAAACTCCAATTAGCTCAGATGGAGTCCTCTTTCCTCCCACGACTTGATGTTATCATATAATATCTTGGGAGCTGAAGGAAATGGAGCAAAGGTAATTCCAGTAGCTGTAGCCTAATCTTATGGGGCTCCAACCTCCCATTTACTGCACCCTAACCACATCAGGCAAGCATGTTTGGTGTCCCCACCTCTCTTCAATTTTTGGTGAGCTTAACCACCCTGATATCTCATGGGAAGAGTATTCAGCCAAATCTGATCAATCGCAAAGCTTCCTCACTTGCACTGACAAGCTCTATTTGACTCATAAAGTCTATGGGCTGATAAGAGGTAAGGTGATGCTGGATCTGGTTCTGGCCAAAGGGGATGATGATCTAGTCAGCGACCTGAGAATCGAAAGGAAGCTTGGTGACAGTGATCAAGAGTTGATCACTTTCTCTGTCCATCACAAAGCTGGCAAATCAGTCAGCAATGCAGAAACCCTCGAGTTTAGGAAAGCTGACTTTCACAAGCTCAGGAGGTTGGTTGTTGAGACCCTAAGAGACCATGATCTGACAGGGAGGGGAGTCCACGATGAGTGGTCACTCCTTAAGGATGTGATCCTAAAAGCACAAGGGAAGTCCATTCCAGCCCATAGGAAAGGTAGCAAAAGGGCTGGGAGACCTTTAGCTCAATAGGGAACTCATGGGCTTCCTGAATCTGAAAAGGGAAGCTTATAAGGGATGGAAGTTGGGAACTACCACTAAGGAGGATTAGGCAGCACTGGCCTGCACCTGTAGGGAGTGGACCAGAAATGCTAAGGCTGAAACTGAACTCAAACTGGCTACAGGAATCAAAGACAGTAAAAAGTCCTTCATCAGACACATGGGAAGCCAGAAAACAGAACAGGCAACATCAGGCTCTTGCTGAACCAAATGGGACAGCTGACAACCAACAGCCAGGAAAAAGCTAATCTCAGTGATTACTTTGCATCAGTTTTCCACAAGCCCAAGTTGATCACAATGCCTGACAGGATGCAGGACTACCAGGGCAAGGGTGATTATATGCCTATAATTGGTGAAGATCTTGTGAAGAAACAGCTTGAGAGCCTGGACATCCACAAGTCAGCTGGCCCAGATGGGGAATACACCCAAGAGTGCTAAAAGAGTTGGCTGACATCATAGCATGACCAGTGGCGAGGATATTTGAAAACTCGTGGCACTTGGGAGAGGTTCCTGAAGATTGGAAGAGGGCCAATGTGGTGCCTATCTTCAAGAAAGGAAGATCCAGGGAACTACAGGCCAGTCAGTTTGCCCTCAATCCCTGTTAAGAACTTGGAAAAAATCATCAAAGAAACCATCAACAACAGGTTAATGGAAGGCACCATTCTGAGAGATAGCCAACATGGCTTTGTTGCGGGTAGGTCTTGCCTGACCAACCTCATTTCCTTGTATGACCAGGTGATGCATCACTTGGACAAAGAAGAGGTTTATGTTATATATGTGGATTTCAAAAAAGTCTTTGACTTGGTCTCCCATGATGTTCTCATGGTCAAATTGGGGAACTGTGGCCTCAACAACCTTACTATCCAAGGGCTGGGGAAATGGTTCTGGGGTCGGACCCAGAGAGTGATAATCAGTGGAATCAAGTCAACATGGTGCGTGGTGACCAGTGGCATCCCCCAGGGCTTAGTACTCAGACCAGTACTCTTTAATATATTCATAAATGATCTGGATTCAGGGCTCAGAAGTAGACTGCCTAAGTTTGCAGATGACACCAAATTATGGGGATGTGCGTTCACGTTAGGGGATAGGCTGGCAATTCAGGCTGAGCTGGACAGGCTTGCAAGGTGGGTGGATCAACACCTGATAATATTCAAAACAGAGAAATGTAAGGTGCTCTGACTTGGGAGAAAAAACTCACATTACACTTATAGGCTTGCCAGTGCTACACTCGCTAGCATCATGACCAAAAGAGACTTGAGAGTTATGACTGACCACAAGATGAACATGAGCCACAAATGTGATGCCACAGCTGACAAAGCAAATAAAACTCTGACTTGCATCTATTGACGCATCTCAAACAAGATCCAAGAAGTCATCCTCCCGCTTTACTCGGCCGTGGAGAGGCTACAATTGGAGTACTGCATCCAATTCTGGGCTCCATACTTTAGAAAGG